GGGGGGGGGGGGGGGGGCGTTGGGGCAGTTTTGTTTTAAATAATGAACCCTGTCGGTACTGTGCTGGCATATTTCATTATCACTTGTACCTAGATGAGCAGGTCTGCCCTAACAAAGGGATAAAAACCAAAAGACTTTGTATAATGATGAAGTTTAAAAACAACAAAAAACACATCTCTTAACTCTCATCAGCTCACATGCATATATTCTAAACACTAGAAGCTGCCTGTAGAGTCCCATGTATAATCCTGCTAAAACAGTAAAAATATATATTTTTAAAATTATGTTTAGGCATAGGCAGTGTAAAAGGGAACATATAATCTAAACATATAGGGTTTCTCAAATCTGGCTGCAAGAGTGGAAAGACCATTTAAGATCTGAAGGAATTGTGTTGGCCTTGCAAAACCATGCAATGACAGAAATTACCACATGTAACTCCATCACCTAATGCATTTATTTTATTCTTCTTAGCTCTTTTTTTCCTTTAAATGTCACATATTCTATTTAAAAAGAACAACTGGGTATTCCAACTCTTCCTGTTGTATTCTCCAGTATATAAAATAAGTGAAATCTGAGAGAACAACCTTTTCAATGGCTTAAGCAGGTATGCAGACCTGGAAACTCACACACATACATTTCAAATATGAAAGACCCTTGGAGAAGAAACTTAGGTTGTAGACTATGCTGCACCTATCAGAATTGATATGAGATTTGATTAAACTGACTGTAAACAAAATAGTAATTAACCAATTAAACACGTTCAACCACACATAAAAAAGGTGCTGCCACAATCGTATTCTATATTCATCATTACTAATTATCATCCATTAAAAAGGATACATTGCAAAGGCCAGAACCAGCATACACCAAACGATGCTGATATTCATCTCTTGTGAAGGTACCACAAAGCTGTAATAAGCTTCAGTTATCAAGTAAACCACAGTAGCGGCAACAGTAAAGTCTACTAGCCATTGATACTCAGGAAAATAATGGAGTCCTGAAATATAGAAGGAAAACAAAACACATATATCACAACATTCAATCCCAAATACTTAAAAGTTTTAAATATATTGCGTACTCACCTAAAGTGTCAACTTCAGTAACAGCCCTAGTTTCTAAATGAAGGTCAATATCTTTGGGAATGGTAAGTGGTTTATTTTCGATATGGCCATTATATTTTCTAAAAAAAAAAATAAAAAAAAAATCATACAATTTAAAAAACTGAAGGAAGATCTTTTCAAAATGTTGCAGTCTTTTTTAAATAAAAGAAAATAAGCATGTATGCTACAGCCTCCCATTTTAGATTTTAAAAAAGTAGACTTTTTACCTCTCGCTGGCCCATTGTGCCATCACAATATGCCAATTTTGTCACACACATTCCCCTCTATAAGCTGACTTTGGCAGTAGAAATTATGAAGTGTGTCGCTAAATTTGTAAATTTAGCGACACACTAGAATTTGCAATTTTGAGGTACCATGAGAAATGGAATTATTGTCAAATGTTAGTAAATATACACAATGCTCCTAATTATTATTAGGCCTGGCTTCCAAATATAACAGAAGTGACAAGGGAGCATGGAGCCGGCTTCGCGGCCAATCAGGAAGCTGGGCAGCGTGTAATGACTCGCTGCCCGGCTTCCTGATACCAAAAGTATCGGGCTAGGCATCAGAGCATTTGGGAGAGTATGAGTACTTGCCCAAATACTCGGCATCGGCACTGATACCGTACTAGTATTGGCGCATCCCCAGTAATAACAGCTGTAACACTGTAGAAATTCATTTTTAGGACACAGAAGATGGATATGCTGGTCTATTTGGTCATATAAGACGCTTCCCTCTGGCTCGCCCAAAAACACAAACTGGACAGTCAGAAGAAAGCCTCTGATAAGTATAGGTTGGCTGCCCTCCTGGATTCTGACATAGAGCTAAAATTCAGCATGTGGTTGACACGTGGGGCAGTGCTAATTATGAACTGCTTCTTTAGCTGAAGATGTAAAACATGTCATGTGCCAAGCTTGTGTTTGTTTACGGTTAGATGTAAATGTATTGTCACTCTTTAAAAAAAAAAAAAAACACAAGTGAAAGAACTGATCCTAGAAAGTAAGTTCTTAGAACAAGTATAAAATGCAGTTTTCCCAGGGTTCTATTGTCAAACACGTTTCAGTGACCCATTTATTGTCTGTTGATCCTCTGATGAATGTCTACAGACACAATCACTTCCATACACCGTCCTCACAGAGAATTCAGTCAAGAGATCTGCCCATACAAACCAATTCACATTGTATATCCAAGTCTACATAGTAGTGCTGCAAAGAACATTTACCATACATTCATATGCAGTCATAATAAACCCCACCTGTCTTTTTTGCCCTTTCCTTTAAGCTGTTGCTTCCCAGCAAGTGTTCGTAACTCTTCTTCTGTTGGATGCTGATACCAATTCAAACTGGAAAGTAAACATTTCATTTTATAGCATTAGGGTTTTTCTTCAATCACATGCAGACATATAAAAGATTTAGAAAAACCATAGACAACATGTTTGTTCCCTTCCACACAAAAAAAAAAAAAGAAGAGGAACCCACAATTTTCTCTAAATAACTTGAAACTGACAAAAGTAATTGGCATCCATCCATCGTTGCTTATTTCATATTTAGAAAAAAAAAAAAAACACTTTGCTTTTACATTTTTGATTCAACAGAGTATTTGAAAGAACTCTGGGCATTAACACAAATTAACCATTGCAGTGGGGCTTCCACCACACTGCAAGGCTTAAGTTCTCGTTTTGGTCTAGGGGCCGGAATAAATAAGATACACTCACCTGATCCTCAGTCCTGCAGCAGTGATTGCTCACCTATCACCCCCTCTGCTCTCCTCTGTGGACTGTCCCTCGGCATGTCGATAGACTTGTATTAGATGTGACGATGTCAGCAGTGCCGCCGGAGCCCAGGGGAAAAGAGGCTGCATGGACCAGTCTATCAGTCAGGCGGGACAGATGATCAGGAGAGTATATATTTTTATTTTTGCCCCTAGACCAAAACGAGCCGTTTACACTTGCAGTTTGGGGTGCCCTCTTCAAATAAAATAAATAACAATGGCATGGCCAAAAACGATGGGACCTCTAACCTTATGTTTTGTTGAACCACCTCTGGGAGGCAATTGTTGCAAATTAGCAATTTCTGCAGCTCTCAGACTTCCATACCTGCCAGCAGGTAGTTTGACCCACACTTTTTGAGCCTAGGTTACACTGCATCAGATCAGGGCTCATAGAAGGCCACTTCAGAATAGTCCAAGGTTTTGCTTGTAGCCATTCTTGGGCATTTTTAGCTGCGTGTTTTGGGTCATTAGCCTGTTAGTGAAGCCACAACCTGCGACTAAAACGGAGCTTTCCGACACTGGGCAGTACATTTTGCTGCAACATTCCTCGATAGTCTTGATACTTGAATCAGGGCAATCCATACCAGTTGTAGCAAATCAGCCCTAAAACTAAACAAGCCACCTCCATGGTTCACAGTAGCTTTGGTTTTCTCTTCTTTGAAAGCTTATTTTTTTTCAGTGAACACAGAGCTGATGTGACAACATGCATTTTAGCAAACTAATGTCTGGCTTTTATGGGGTTTGCCTTTTAAATGTGGAGTCCTTTTGGAGCTTTTTTCTTTGAGCCCACTGTCACTCAAAAAGTGATCAGACACCCTGTCCTGATGTACCCTGACCTTGGATCTTTTTGGAAGATTGGCTCTTTGTCTTTCCATCACACTATCCTTCTACTCAATCTGGAGTTGGTTTTCCTCTTGTGGCCAAATCCAGGGTGGTTGGCTACACTACCAAGAACCTCAAACTTCTTTAAAATATTATTAAACTTTAGTCACGGGAACATCAAGCTGCTTGGAGATAGTCCTCTAGCCTTTACCTTTGACATACTGGTCTATCATTTTCTTACTCACCTCCTCTCACCAAAGCATTCTCTGCTTTGCTTTCTCTAATCAATTTTTAGTGTGGTGCACATGATGATACCAAACAGCATAGAAATGACTTTTCTCCATTTAAATAGGCTGACTTACAAGATTGAAGACATGTGTAATTACAGAAAATGTCTAATTACAGGGGGGAAAAAAAGGTTAGTTTGAAATATGACCATGATCCAAATTATTTACAACCTTGTCCAGGACATTTTAGAATAGCTTTGTAGAATAAGCACTCTAGCGCTTGTCACACTTTCTTTGCTCTATGACATATCAAAAGGCATGCATGAGCAATTGTTTTGAATGTTATCATTTTTTGGAGGTATATACCATTTTTTAGATGAGCTGTAAGGGTACCAACAATTTATTTCAGAAATACACTTTACTATTTTATTTATAGAAAAGCTCTGGTGCACAACAAAAAATCTGCATTACCTGCCATTGCAGAGAAGCCAACGAGCCAAAGAATAATGCGGAATGATCTTCTGAATGACACTGGCCATTACCATGGTAACAACCAGCTGCACACCTATCACACCCTACAAATAAAAGAAGGGATAATGTAAATTAGGACTAGAGTGCTGTAATAAATGGTCTGGTTTAGTATATGTACATTATATAAAGGTTGCATACAAATTCTTAGTGATCAACAGAACAGGGCAACTCAAATCAGAAGGTCTTTTGCCAGTTCAAAAGGTCTTTTGCCAGTTCAAATAGAGGTCCCCCATACATCAGAATCTGACCGTTATATCATCCAATATACAAAAAAAACTTGCCTATGAGAGCTGTTCATTTGTATGGCCTCTAATTTGGCAGGTTGTACCATTTCAGATCATTTTCAAATTAAGTTTTAAAGTAAAAACAAGAAGGTAAAACCTGCCAAATTATTTCTGATTCTGTACTTGTTAATGCCACAAATTTGCCACACTGCACAGCCAGGCAGGTTTCTAGCTTCCTATGCCTCCTCTGGAGACAAAGTAAAAGTCTGCATCATCACCAATGTTCAATGTACTGGGCATTGATTCACAAAGCAGTAAAGCTGACCCAGAAAGCAGTGAAAGTAAACCAGGAAGTAGAGTGATCAGCAGAGTATTTCACAAGAATGGCTGGACAAAATGAACATTCCTTAGGCAAGTAAAACCGTAAACATTCATGCATTTAGATGGTTGCCTGTAATTCTTCTTTAAAGTATCATTTGAGGTTTTCTTTAAATATGCTGATTTGCCAAGTTTAAAATAAAAAAACAACTCTTGCTCCAAAACTAATATTAATAAGTTACACTGGTTGCATAGGACTCAATCGGCAACAACTGCCAACTTGAAAGAAAAGGGCATTCTTACAAGTGCCAAATGTCCATATCGGTCAAGAGACAACATAAAGCAATATATTTCATCACATGTTCCCTTCTCAACCGTCCAGTATCAAAGCAAATATGTAACCTTGAAAGTTGGAGGACACCAATACACAGGTCAATTGTCAGCAAAATAACCACTATGCCTGCCTGAGTGGTCATTTCACTACACATTTTTGTACCCAAGCCAAGAATTATATCTACAAGTAGGAGAACATTTTATTAGGGCTGAAACTACTAATCGATATACAATTGATAAATGAGAATAGTTGTCAATGATTCTCATTATCGATTAGTTGATTTTCTATTAGTTGAATCCGCCGCCCCTCTGCTCATTTTTGCTGCAGGAGGTGCGTTGCGGTGCCATTAATTTAAATGGCTTCCCAAATGCACCTCGCGTCTGGGAGTGCACTGGAACGCGTGGTACTGCAATGCCCTGTGTTCCAGGGCAGTGCGATTTAACCCTTTCGCTGCCAAGCCCTCCGGAACATTTTTCAAATCAGCTGAAATGTGCATACCGTTTTATTCTGAAGTAAACTTTAGGTTTGTAAAGCTGCATTTGTGTATTTTTGTTTAAATAATTGTTATTTTAAATTGTAAAACATTAATACATTTATTTTTCTTTTTTTAAATTTATGGTTTTAAAAAAACAATAGGCCAACTAATCAATTATGAAAATAATTGTTAGTTGCAGCCCTGCATTTTAATTGTCTTTAAGCGACACTAAACTCAGGAGTTAAAGTGACATTAAACCCTCAGATTTTTTAACATAAAACAATACTGTGATGGTTGTGCCGTGTTTTTGTTGCGTTCCGGGTCGTTTTTGCTCAAAAAAAAATGTGTTTTTTTTAAGTTTAACATGGGCTTTCAGGCACTTGCATGTGTTTTTGATGCGTTCCAGAGCAGGTAAAATAGGGCTTGCCGCAGTTTTTTCACCTGCTCTGGATCTGCACGCTGCGATGTGAACTGGAGCTCAAAATACCATAGGAATACATTGGACGCAGTTTTGATCCGGTCTGCACCTGCTCTGCTCTGGATCTGCTCCGCGCTTGGTGTGAACAAGCCCTAAATCAAAAAAATGTATTCAAGTACCTTGACTGTTAACACAAATGTATCTTATTTGTGTATCACTCGGCTGTAGATCCTTGCCGACACTGTCCTTCCTTCCGGAGGTTGGCTACTTTAGTTCTCCATGGTCCCTGTGTGTGTTGTAAAGTAGTCACCGCTCCAAGCTCACTCCCGTGATGGACTACAAGCTCAATACAAATTAGTAAACTAAATGTGAGTTCATAGTCCATCAAAGGAGTGAGCTTGGAGCAGTGCAAAAGTAGCCACCCTCCAGAAGGAAGGACAGTGTCAGCATGAGTTCAGAGATGATTTGAGGATCTACAGCTGAGTGATACACAAATAAGATACATTTTTATTTATAGCTAGGGTACTTGAATGCATTTTTAAGATTTTAATTCCCGAGTTTAGTGTCACTTTTAAAAGCCTGCATAATGCCTACAAATGTACTACTGTTGAAGGTTAGGAGTATATCCAAAGTAACTAGTGACAAGTTTGCCATATGAAAAAAAATAACAAAACTTATCAGCAAGGTGAAAGCAGTTAATACATAGCGGGAAATTACAAGGTCATCAACAAGTTTACTTTAAAGTAGGCTAAACTCTTATCTGGCTACCCTTGCGAATGGCTGGTAAGAACTCACATTGGAAATTTGCACAAACAGTATCAACATTGCTAAAGTACAGCAGACTCAATGTCACTTTTCTGGAATTTTCAATACACAAGCTAAAAAGAACACATTTAGGGCTTGTTCACACCATCTCCAGACCAGCTGTGGATGCCTTTAAGCATGATTTTGAGGTCAGTGCTTTTTCTTTTTTTTTTTTTTTTTAATAAGTGATTTTGCTTAGGTTTTAAAAGGAAGAACTTGGGGGAAATATGTAATCATCTTTTTTAGCACAGAGACAAAAACGACTAGCTAACCCTTGCAGTGCGGTGGTAGCCTGTGGCAGTGCGGGGGTAGCCTGTGGCACTGCACGGGTTAACTGATATTTTTTTTGTCTAGGTGCTGAAAAGGAAAAAAAAGTTATACTCACCGAAACTGCCAAGTCGACTCCCTGCTCCTCAGTCTCTGAAGTGTGTCTCCTCTTCTGTTGCATAGATGGAATGTTCCCCAGTGTCCTCACGTCCTATACACCGTGTATAGAACATGACCTTTTTTTTAGCAACTAGACACAAACGAGCAGTTAACCCTTGCAGTGCAGAGGAAGTCCCATTGCAAGGGTTATTAACATTTTTCCCCAGAGTGACTTTCACTGAACATCAATTACTGAATCGATCACTGCCATTTTAAAACAGATGCACCTGGAGCATTTAGCTGTCGTGAATGTGAGATTCACTACTTTATAAATATGCCCCTAAATTGGCACTATTGCCCTCATACTGCCAGGATCACCAGGTACAAACAGAAAAGGAAGCCTACAATCACATTTGGTATTGCACACAGAAGGTGCCTGAATTTGCTATATTTTCTCATGCCTACAACTTACACTTTAGTGATTTATTGTAAGAATAAATTTAAAATAAAAAAAAAAGGTGTTTGCTAGCCTTGCTAAAGTGACATTAAACTCAGGAGTCAAATCTTAAAAATGCATTCAAGTACCTTAACTATTAACAAAAATGTATCTTATTTGTGTATCACTCGACTGTAGATCTTCAAATCATCTCTGAATTGGTGCCGACACTGTCCTTCCTTCTGGAGGGTGACTACGTTTGTTCCCCATGGTCCCTGTGAGTGTTGTAAAGTAGCCACCGCTCCAAGCTCGCTCCCGTGATGGACTGCAATCTCACATTTAGTTTACTAATTTGTATTGATATTATAGTCTATCACAGGAATGAGCTTGGAGCGGTGGCTACTTTGCAACACACACAGGAACCATGTGGAACAAAAGTAGCCACCCTCCAGAAGGAAGGACAGTGTCAGCACCAATTCAGAGATGATCTGAGAATCTACAGCTGAGTGATACACAAATAAGCTACATGTTTGTTACTAGTGAACATACTTGAATGTATTTTTAAGATTTAACTCCTGAATTCAGTGTCACTTTAAACTCTCCCAAAACTAATAAAAACTTGCATAGAAAACATACATGGCAGCCATGCCACCACAGTGAGCAAAGAACACAGATTTGACATTGACATTCCAGGACATACTTCAATGACATTGATGTATTTTCTTTTAGCGGACATTCTAAAGACACCTTTCACTTTAACCCATGCTTCATGTTGGTTAAACACCAACATAATGCAGAGCCTATAAAATAATCCTTGATAGAAATATAACCTGTATGCATCAACATATGATAAATAACTCACCATTTTTCCAGTAAAAGCGTGCGCTCCTCAACTCTTGACAACGTGGCTTTACGTTCCGATATCATAAATGAGCACTAAAAGTAGAGATAGGAAATTCTTAGTGCCTAGATACAACGGTATTAAGAGATGTAGCAATTCAATAAATTGTACAATTTAACTGAAGTTACCAAAAGGAACTCCAAAACTAAAATGAGAGTTTACATGGATTTCTTGCAATAGTGTTGAGGAGTTGAAGCAGAAATACCTGAAGCAGCAGCTACAAGGTGTATCCTTACAAGACAGGGAACTCCCACGGTACATATATGCATTTGTTAGCATATAATAAGAACAAAGTAAATGAGTACAATGGGGACAAAAAGAGGACGTGTATCAAAACACAATTTACACCGTACTTAAATGCACATTTAATTACGTTAAAGCCACAAGAAAGCCAACAATACATTTAGTAAAATAGTAACATAGGTGACTATTTTATTTGGCATACCAAGGAAGTAGCAGCAGAAAAGCATTGAATGACTGTGTTAGTACATGCAGAAAACCAAATGCTTTTTAGATACTATGTCTATTGGAATCATTTGGAACTCAATATTAAGAGTACAACATAAGTAACTATGGGAACCACCATACATACAAAGAAGAAAAGTGAAAACAGAAAAATAAAACAAATGTATAAAACATTTTTCTTTAAATATCTAATACAAAACTTTTTTTTTCTTCTTTTACAGGTATCCAAACAAAAACAATTTACTATATTTTAGCTTACCAATCCTGTATGAGGTGGTTGCATTAGATTTCTTTTTTTTTTTAGGGTTTTTTTTTCCCACCTGATGATCCAGTTAGTAACACACTAACAAAGACTAAACAAAAAACCTACAAAGAAAACTAATGCAGACACCACACCTAAGACTTGGTAAGCTGCAATATATGAAATGTTTGCTCTTCGGTTTACATACGCTTTACGGTGAGACTTAGATGACTCTGGGAAGATTAAAATGGAAATGAATGATATAGCGATAGGATCCCTAACAAACATTGCGAGGCCAATTTGTGAGAAATGGAAAAAACAAGAAGTGTGACAATTTCGGAGCTGTTGTCTATAACAACCACCACAATTCCATGTTTTTACTTCAGAAAGACAAATAAACCCTGAATGGTCAGTATTAGCCATCAGTCCAGTTTTCCTAGCTCTGGCTTTCACAGCTCAAGGAAATACTTTCTTCTATCTTTGAGGTGCATTCCTCTATCTTTGGGGTGCTATTACTGGGTGTCCAATTCCACATTGTTCTAATGCAGGGGTGATCTTTAATGTATAACTACAGCAAAAAAGTTGTTTTGGACAGCTGTCACCGAGCCAGAAAGTGAGGTGGAATGCAAGATGTTATGGTTGCCACCAGAACAGAATTAGGGGGATTCTTTTCCAATGCAGACGCTAGTTTTAGTGACAATTGTCAAAGATGGAATTGACCCCCATTTTAGGGAGCTTTTCACTTCCTGTTGTGTAGGAATAACTCCCTGATCACACAGCCGCCAATAAAAAAAAAAGGCTTTAACCCTTCCTGCTCATCTAGAATTGAAAAATGTTTTACCTAGAGTTACGCTTTAACGCTGACCCAGCATCAGCTTCATTTACTGATATGGATAGGGCGAACGCATCAGTAATAGCCGACTACAATGTCACTTGCAAATGTCTCAGACTGCACAGCTTCCTGTTCTCTCAATGCAGGTGCTCAGCTCAGTATAATACATGAATATAGAGCAAATAATATTCAGGTACTCTATCATAAAAAAACAAATAAAAACACAATAAAGTCCAATCTGATCAAGTCCACCATACAACAGCAGCGTGCAATAAGGAATGATCTAGGCAGTCCTTCATACAACATTAGGGCTGCAACAACTAATCGACATAATCGATTATTGAAAAAGTTGTCAACTTTTTAAATAATCGATTAATCGGCTTCCGATCAGTTGGCCCTGTTCACGGCTCCACACATGCTGCACGGCACACCTCCTCCGCTCACCTCACCGCTGCCAGACCCGCCCGCATCCACGCTCTACACGCCTCACACTCACCACCCGCCCACGTCCATGATCGGCACAGGGAAGCGGGGAGATGTAGTAAGGAGGAGCAGGTGTGGGGGGGATGACAGCCGCCGTTAGACAGGCCCGATCTCAGAAGCAAGTTGCTGGAAGACTGCTCAGATGTGCCTGCACTTTCCCACACATGGTGCTCTATAATGTATTGCTGGGATTTGTATTCCTCTATAGCTGATGGTACATTGTGCTGTATATTATACATAGGAATACAAATCCCAGCAATACATTATATACTGTATGTATAATGTATTGCTGGGATTTGTTGTACTCCTCTATAGTTGGTGACATTCTGCACTGTGCTGTGCTGTATAGAGGACTACAAATCCCAGCAATAATACATTATACAGCGCCATGCGGAATTCCTCCAGCTATAGAGGAGCACAAAAAATCCCAGCAATACATAATACAGTGGTGCAATGCCGAATACCACCAGCTATAACTAGTAGTCCATTACTGGAGTCATTTTTTAAAATGTATTATATTGTTTATCCGATTAATCGAACTTAATAAATCGGCTAACTAATCGATTTTGAAAATAATCGTTAGCTGCAGCTCTATATAACATACTGAAGATTGCCGTGCTTGAAGTGACACAAGCAGCTATGCCTCGTGTCTTCCTGAAGCACAAAGTGACCACCGCCGAGGTCAGCGTGCACATGAAAAAAAGGATAACCAGGCCCTCCAATATTCCATTATCGCTGTTATGAATTTCAGTAGAAACCATACTCCCAACCTTTACTCAGTCATAGCACCCTTTGAAAATATGCAAAATCTTGAAGCACCGCAGTCTAAAATGTATGAAATGCTAATGTAAAAAATGTGTGGCCTCCCCAAAATGCATGCCAGACCCCCTCCTAGATAGGGGGTCTGGTACGGATTTTAAGGGGGGCCCAACTAGAGATGGGAAGGGCTGGAAAAAAACCCGGAAAAATTGGGGGGGAAAACAGGATTTTTTTCCAAAGCCGTTTGTTTTTTTCCGGAAAAATTAAAATAAACAACAAAACAAAAAAAACAAAAATGTGTGGAATATGTTCTTTTACAATGATAAATAATATCTTTTGACATGGTATTCAAATTATATAACATGAAGACCTTAATGAAAGATTTCTGAGACTTTATGTAAAGTTTTGCTGCAAATCTACTGGATCCAAGATTCAAAGGCAGTGATGCTGTGAGTGATGAGAATACAACTGCTGCATTTGACTGGATTACAAAACAAGCTGCACAGTTAGGACTTTATGCTGGAAAAGTACTTTTAAATGTTGCAGAATATAGAACATCTTCAGGGATTTGGGCCAGGAATGCTGTCTGGGATTCTGCAAAACATATCCCTCCTGCAACATGGTGGCAAGTTCTCTGTACAACACAACCTCTGACACCTATTGCATCTCGCTTACTACAGATTCCTGCATCTTCTGTGCCATGTGAAAGAATCTGCTCTGTTTGGTAATATTCATACCAAATCAAGAAACAAACTGACCTGTGAAAAGCTTGTTTCTATCCGTGCAAACTTTAGGTTTTATAGAAATACATGAGAAAAATGACAAATATGAAGAGGAAGAAGAAGCGGAAAATAGAACAATAGTTCGGAAAATGAGATTAAATTGCATGTATTTGTTGGGTCGTCTTTCCTTTTCTCAATTTATTTTATGAAAGCTCCACTCAAGTTTACCCTTGCTATGGAGCTTAAATATGGAGGTTGACCTTACACCCACCAGTGTCCGTATCCTACTGGCACAAATAATTCCAGTTACTTATCTTTGTATTTGCTATTGGTGCTAAGGGGCAAATCTGATTATCTTTTATGTTGATAGTTTCCTGCTCGGTTTATTTGCTTTTGAAGGAAAGGGGGTGGTTACCTGTACTCATGTATAGTTGAAATGTTATTAACAAACGCAGTCCTTGTTATTCCATTTGTAATAAAAAATACAAATTTTAAAAAGCAAGTTTAGTTTATTGACTGAATAAACTGTACTTTTATTTCAAGCATAAATACTTTTATATACACTGTAACAAAATGACTTTCAATGTGTAAAAATACTCCACTACTGAATTTCAATTTTTCAGAAAATTTTAATTTTTGTCCGGACAAAAAAAAAACCGGGGAAAAAAACGTTTTTTTTCCCCTCATGGCTTCAAAATTTCTGGAAATTTTACATCTCTAGGCCCAACACAAAAAAGGGGTTCCCCTCACATTAGAATCCCTCCTAATATCAGGGGCCCCCCTTCACATCATAGTCCCTTATCTCACACTAGGTGCCCCCCTTCATATTAGAAGCCACCCTTTCCACACCAGAGTTCCCCCTTCACACCAGAGTTCCACCTTTCACACCAGAAGCCATCCTGCACCATAGAAAAGGCCTGATGCTGTGTGAAAATTTCAAGACATCCCTGAGGAAGCCAGAAGTCACTCTAGTTGAGAAAGGCTGCTATAAATAACCAGCATGCTCAGAGAAACTCCAATGGTGCAGAATCTTAACTTGTATTCCATTAACAATTTTCTCAAATTAAAAACTTTAAAAGGGTACGTTCACCTTTTTACAAAATAGGGAAAAGGCAAACTATAACTTACTCTCCTAGTCTCTGCTGCAAATATCTTTAATGAAAACCATCACCTGCCGCCCACACCAGCCCATATAACAGTCCTGGCACTTGAAGACTTCACCACACAGCCCCAGAGGCTGCAATGCGGAGCAGTCATTGGTCAGCAGAAAGAAGGCACAGAAGAGATCGTCACTGATCAGCATGGCCACGTGGCCACAACATAATGCTTGCAATGGGGAGCAGTAGTTGGTCAGTGCAGCCATGAGACGAACGAGAATCTCTTATTTCTGCTAAAAACGCCTTCCTGTAAGAACAGGAGGGAGTCCCACTGGTCAGTGCGGTCACACTCCCCAGTGACTGCTTGCCACTGCAAGCATTATGTTGCTACACAGCTTCTGGGGTCGTGCAGTGAAGTTTCCAACTGTCTGAACTATGGATCTCCAGATACTAGTGCCGATACTTGGCATTTTCACGAGAAGTACCAGGGTTGTAGCTGGGACCTGGCTCTGGTGCTCCACCACTGTCCTGAAATCATTAGTCTGTATTGAGTTAGAAAAACTGTCACATGACAAACAAAAATGTATTAATGCTAGAAAAGTATCTGTACTTGTACCGAGTACAGTACTTGGCATCTTAACATCCCTAGTCTGGACCATTATACAAGCTGCCATGGGCAAATGGTGAGGGTCATCGCTGCCATTAAGTGCTGCAGGGACTAGGGGGCGAGAGCCGAGGAGGGTGCTGTGAGTTTGTTTACCTTTTCACTTGTGAAAACGTGAACTAACCCTTACAAAACAATTGTAAAAGCCGGCAAAACTTGAAATATGAAAATGCTGTTACTCCGTTTGAGCTGACAGCATGCAACATCAACACTCAAATTACATCCTACAACCAATATCCTGTGCTGGACATTGAGACATTCAGAACAACAGTCCTGGAATATTGGAGGGCCTGGTTATTCTTTATTTCCTATTTAGCTATTTTGGAGTCCTGCCATTTACTCCTCGGCAGTGGTCACTTTGTGCTTTAGGAAGTCACGAGGGTGATATCTAATGGTCTCACTTCAAACGCTGCAATCTTTAATATACTATGATACAAACTTATCTGAAAGACAGCAGAGTGGCTTAGTGGTTAGCGGATCTGCCTTGCAGGTCCCCAGGTCACTATCTGCGAAGAGTCTGCATGTTCTCCCTGTGCTTGCATGGGTAGGGTTATTGGCTCCTGCTTGAACTGCCCCCTTGTCTATAAGCATGTGATATAGGGACCTTAGATTGTAAGCTCTTTGAGGGCAGGGGCTGATGTGAATGGGCAGTATGTAAAGCGAAGTGTAAATTGCCACCACTGTATAAATTCCTGTGATAAATAAATAAATCACTGCCCTCCAATCTCAGGAGCTGTGTATATAAGTAGCCTGTAGCCTCCAGCGTCTCGGGGAACTACAAGTCCAAGACACAGAGATAACATGCTGTGACCTGCAGCATACAAAAGGCACAGCAGGTGCCCCACAATGAAGCAAAGTTGTTTGAGAAGAAGCCCCCCTTGTAATGCTGAGTCCAGGTAAACAGGACAATATAGCTTGTACAAGGTGTGGTAATGCCTCCACCAAGCTCCCCTGTGTAACCCCCATTACCAGCAGCCCACCTGACACCTGTCCCCAATACACACCGTTCTCTGCAGTCACCGGCACCACAACACTTCTTCTGCTGGAGGTCACGCTAGGGCCCCTTCACACAGCAACATGGCGGCTCCCGTGTCCCTGCCCGGCTACAGTAACCTAAAACACCGCTGACAGACGCTTCCCGTCTACCGGACTCAAAACCGGAGCTCAGCAGAACAAACCAGCACTTCGAATAACAAAACGGTCTTTATCAGAGCTACATTTTACACCACATCCGAAACAGGCACCTGTAAGTCAGCCCAGTGGGTGGAAGGCCCCGCTCCACCGCCCGCATGCGCACTAAGTCGATCAAGCCATCGCTGTAGCTGAATGAAGAGGGGAGGATAGTCGGAAGCCTTCGTAGTGAGAAGCTGTGGTATATTCCGTCTGGCTCTGCTATAGGCTGGGAAGCTTGCGGGCCACGTGATTGAGTATGAGCGGCTGAACGGCCATGATTTGTGTGGGCAAATGGGGAATCTAGCTTCTGGGTTTATGTGAGCATATTCACCTATTGGGTCAGGTTACACGGAGACTGGTAAAGATGTGTATCGAATCCTGAACTCCTAAAGCAAGATTGTATAGCAAAGGCGGGTGCATTATATGCTGTGCCTCTGTCTGTATGAGGGCCTGCAGCCTGGAAGGTGTTGATATTGCAAAGTGGGGGCAACGAAGAGGACCTGTTATCCACACCAGCTAGATGCTGGTTTTCCTTAAAGAATGAATGCAATGCGTACCTGGTTGTTTGCAATGGACAATAGGGCTATTTTAGTGCCATTTCTGTTCTGCTTTTAAGTGGCAACATGGGTGAAATAAAAAATAATAAATATGATGCGGCTTGTCACTAGCTGGCGTGTGTGTGCCCGTACAATGCCAATGCGCTTGATTGAACCGCGTCGCACAGTTTCTTTTTTTTAGAACTTTATTAAAACATCACAAGTGACATTTCATTACATTATATGAGCTCACCGCAGTGTGATGCGGTTGTACTACGTCTCACTGTGGTTTGCTTAAAAAAAAGTAGTGCATGATGTACTTTTCTTTAACCATACACCACCGGAACGCAGCGATGTAAACTGTCAGCATCCATGACAAGGTCTATTACCTTGTCTTGAGTTCAGGCTGCTCAGGCCATTTTTTTCCAACGCAGTATGAATGCAAGACAATGCAATGTGCTTTGTCTTGGATGGTGACAGTTCACACCACTGTGTTCTGGTGGTCTGCGCTTAAAGAAAGTACAGCATGCGCTATGGTGTGAAGAAGCATTTAAGTCAAAAGGTTTTTTAAGCTATTTCAAATGCTGATGAAATCACTTACAATGGATGCTGCTCCTTCATGTTTACAAATTTTAGTTTCCTGCAGAACCAGCGGGTCCCCTCAGCACTGGTCCTGATATCCTATTTTAGGCTAGGTTCACCTCTGCACCACACCGCACGACATCCGGGGATGCGCGTCCTGCTTCCCCATTGATTTCAATGGGGTGACATCCGCGTGGCAGTCGCTAAAAAAGGTACAAGTACCTTTTTTTGCGACACACGACGCACAGCTTTTTTAGCCGCGGCCGTGTTCACTTGTACGGGCAGAATCAAGGCAGGAAACCACGCAATTTGGCCAGAGCGACTGGGGTGCCATTCGAAAATAATTTCACCCACAGTGCTATAGGTTCACACCTTGGCGACTCCCGACAGCCCGACAATCGTGCACAAAACCGCGCGGATTGCCACGCATCTGGAGTCATCTAGGTGTGAACATAGTCTCAGAGTGACTGCTTTCCGTTGCAGGGTCCAATGACGCCACCCTTGTGTGTGCTAGTAAGTATTATAATAATAATGTGTGTCTCCTCAAACACACAGCCAGAGAAAGGCAAACTGCTCCTGGCTCCTCCCTTCTCCAAGCTAGTAGATGAACAGATGCTGGAGACGGATCTGTCCCTTGTGATCTTGTACTGGACAGGAAGTTCAGGAAAGCCGAGTTGGAGCCAGCTGATTGGAAACATGATGACTGTAAGTGTTTGGGAAAAAATGTAAAGAAATACTTTGCTGGGCAATGTGTATTTGTTTGATCTGGACTCATTATTGAAAAACGTTTGAGAGTTTAATACTGCGTTACAGAAAAAATCCAGCTTTTGCGAAAAAAAAAAAAAAGATTACACACTTCTTCATAAAAGAATGTAACGAGCCCCTGCTCGCTCGGTTCCACTCTCCCGGCACTCCTCTGCTACTAATGGATCAGATGTCAGACCGCACGTCTGATTCTTCGATCGTCCGATAATCCGGGATTCGAACTACAGCTATGTGCCGTTCGAATCCAACTCAGAACAAACACCAGGCAGGCTGTATGTAAGTTCCAACAGGGATCTGCTTTATTGAAGACTAGCTCAGTATATATACAGTCCAAGAAGTCTAAACACATAACGCAATCAAACATGAACAGCATGCAAACATCCACTCCCCCTCCCCGATGCCTTAATGAAAGAATAGGGAGGGAGGAGACACATGTGATGGGATTATCTCCTGAGTGTATCATAGTGTGATTTACTCATCTACACCTGGAGTCAGCTACTCCTAGAATCAGCCATCCTAATCCCATCATTAACACAATACAACAAAAGGACCAATAAACTGTAACAGTTCAATGTCCAGAATTATCCCCCTTCAGTGCTCCTGGAAGGAAGGAGCTTCAGGGGGGCTATAGGTGTGGGGTAGAGGATAGCAGCACTCTGCCCTCATGCCAGCTCTTCTGCTGGGGTTAGTAGTTCCTCTGCATCCAAATCTATAAGGTCAACCCCAGGCTCCTAGGTGACGCTTTAAACGCCTATACAAGTAATCAGTTTAGAGCAGTGGTTCTCAACCCGTGTAACCTCAGCACCCACATTTGTCCTTGGTCATTAAGTCGTGACCCAAGCCTGCAATGTCTGCACTGCAATGGAACACACGGCATTAGGGTACCACACATTCTGGTGCGGGCGTACGAACTGTGGGTGGGAGGTGCGTTTGGGGTACCATTTAAATGAATGGCAACGCAACTCACCTCCCACACCAGAATTCATGTTAGGTGCGATTGCTTGGTATAGTGCGTTAATCTCACAGTACTAGAGTGGACGGGCTCTCAAAAACACACATTCACACACAACCGCAGACACATTCTCACACACGCATACACACTCCAAAGTTTTTTTCATGGTCTACCCAGTCTCCCTATCAGTCTCCCTATCTTATGAGAACTAGAGTGGATCCTCAGCCTGGGGTCCAGTGTGGGCTGCTGCGCTGTGACGGAGCTCTATCCATATGTGCATTGCTTGTACAGCCCTCTTGCTCGCCCTGTAGAGGTGCTGGGAGTCAGAATGTGATGTCAGTCCAGGCACCTCTCCAGGACACGCGAGGGAGCTGTAAGCAATGCATGTATGGATGGAACTCTCTTGTGGCCACAGCCCTACCCCACCTCAAGCTGACACTTGGCGCCGAGCAACATATTTTGAATGCCTGCTTGAAACAAGAGCTGACTGTGCTGCGCTAGAGGGAGGCAGACGAGCCTCTCACCTAGAAAAGTGGAAGACATGCGGCGACCCACTGAACACGTGGTCGCGACCCACTTTTGGGTCACGACCCACCAGTTGAGAACCCAGGGTTTAGAGTTAACCGTGGGTATTGGCCCTAGAATTATTGTTTCCACTCTGGCATATGTGGCGATAACTGTCATGTGAGTCGCTTTCATTTTTCATTCATAGGCGCACCTGATGTGTGTTTGTGTTAGTATGTGTATGTTTGTGGAGACTTTTACATTTGTTTTATTTAATCTTATTTCTTTAAACATTTAACTTCATTGCTATCACATATGGGGGCGCTCACAAGCCCTCTATGTGATAGCACATTGGAGGTTACATTAGGGGTCAGCGCACAGACTGTACTTGATCAGCTTCTTCCCCGGCATTTATAGCCAGGGAATGACAGCTCAAAAACTGGAAGTGATGCAATCAATGCTGCTTCTGGTTTCATTCAGCTGGGAGGAGATCAGTGATGGGCGGGCCCACAGGAGGGGCAACGGAGCCTTGGAAGCAAGGGCGGTGGGGGGACGGCATGTTTCAGAGCCCCTGGAAATATAGACTGGGTAATATGCATGTATAATCAGGTGATTGGACACATCCAGAGCTGTGAAAACCCTCATATAACCCCTCCTGGGAATCCCCAGGTTTTGATAGTGTCCTTGAGGGCCAGTGCACACCTATGCGACACCCCACTGCACGGCAATTGTACGTGATTCTGCGCGGATTGCAGCGCAATCAGGAGTCGCACCCCAGTCGCGCCGGGCGGATCACGCGGTTTCCGCCCGTGCTTCTGAACACGTACAGCCGCGCGTCGTGTATCGCAAAAAAAAGATAATCGTATAATCAGTGCACACCTATGCCGCACCCCATCACTCAGCAATCGTGCACGATTCCGTGCGGATTGCCGCGCGGTCAGGAGTCATATAGATGTGCACTGATCGCTACAAGTACCTTTTTTCTGCGATACACGACGGGTGCGGCTGCCTGGCGCGACTGGGGTCTGCCTGGCGCAACACCCACAGCGCGATCAGTGCACACCTATACGACACGCGGCAATCTGCGCAGAATCGTGCACGATTGCCATGCGGTGGGGTGACGCATAGGTGTGCACCGACCCTATGCAATGGATGTCTCTTCTCTACTGAGGGAGACTTGTGTAGTTAGTTACATTTTTACTGTGATTCTTCCAACAAGTTTTCTCTGGCTGTGTCTGGCCACAGTGGCATTCTTGCAGCTTCCAAATTGATGCCCAATGGCTATGGGCATCATACCCTGACCCCGCAGGACTGATGATGTGGGGCTGCCCCGTGATGTAGCTTTGAGATAAATTAAGATATTCTAGAAAAAAGATTTATAAAGGATTAAAAATGAAACGTATGTTGGACTTTTGACACATAACACATCTAGTGGTACCAATTGTGTATGTCTTGTCTATGACACATGAAGACTTGTCATGCGCTTCAGGGCGGCCATGCTTGTTGGTTCATGGGTCCTTTTTGGGCAGCATCTACATTAGTACAAGGATGTAACTAAGGGTTACAACTGATTTTTAGATAAGCTACAGAAATGTAATATACCTGATGAACCAGTTTGGTTGGTGTCATGGAATATACTGAGTTTGTACACCGACGTTAGTTATGTGTTAGGTCATTCATTGCATTAGTTGAATCAAGTAAATTCCTTAGTCAGGCTCAGGTAGATCTTTTGAAAGAAGCTTT